GTAAATTGGAGCATCCACATTCTAAACAGAAGCCCTATTCTGGCAGTTCAGAACAAAACACTAAAAGAGGCATGGAGCGGAAGAAGACCAACTATTGGGCATTTCAGAATCTTCGAATGTATTGCTTATGCTCACATACTAGACGAAAAGAGGAAAACGCTACATGACAAGCAGAAAATTGCATCTTTATTGGAATAAACAATCAGTCCAAAGCATGCAGGTTGTATAATCCAAACACAGAAAAAAATGTAATTAGTCGAGATGTTACATTTGATGAAGAAAGATTTTAGGAGTGGAACGGAGATGAAATTCAACAACAAATTCCTGCGAGTTTTGATGTAGAAGGGGAAACCTAACCTATGATAAACTCACAACAACCAATAGATGAACAAGATGAACCAATGTAGCTCAAAGCCGACCTACAGTATCAATAGATTCTAGATCACAAAGGTTCGGTTAGAGACCTGCATAGATGATCGATTATGAGGTAACATGTATTGATAATTCTTAGGATCCACTTACAGACTTTGCTCTTTTTTCGAATTGTGATCCTATAACCTTTATTGATGCTTCCAAACAATCGAAATGATATTTCAAAATAAACTATTATCATTCAATGCATTCCTCCCAATAACAATATTCCCAAAAAAGTACTATTGCATTGCATTCAAATTTGCTTACACAACAATATTAACATGTAATTATTAATAAGTAACTAGATACTCATAAATCTTCGTCATTTCTGTTTAAACAAGATTAAGACATGACTAAACAATATTAAATCCATTAGCCTACATTTTTTTCAGTATCATTTAGAAATTATATTCCATTACTATTTAAATCAATTATATTCCATTACGACTTCCGACCACCCAAATCATTGGATATTCGTCCCAACATGTTCTCCTCATGACCTTCTACAACTACATACCAAGAAATCCCCATACCTCTTTGTAATTTGGTCGAAAATCAAATTCAAAAATTGCAGCTTGAAAATCGGTTAAACACCCACAACTCGCTGTCCGGCCACCCAACCGGCCAGAATCCACCATTGGTCGACTTCCCTCATCAAGTCAAAGCTACCTATGTAAACAATTTTCTCCAACAACCATCAATTTCAAAGCAAAGCCAGTCCAGTCGCGAGTTTGCAACAACGAACATTTCAGACCCAGATTGAAGATGATTGGAGCCAAATTGAAGGGGACCCATGGCTGGGCTACCTGGCGCACCTAGCCCAGGTGTTCCGCCACCATGGGTCGTCATGGCGGCACCTGAATTGGAGGAAAACGAGTGCGGTGTTGCGACATCGTGACGGGCAGTTTTCAATTTGAAATTCAGATCTTATCCTTGCTATTTGGACTAAATTGTTTGCATGGTTGAGGTTGTCTTGAGTAGGGGAGTTGGCCGGTGGTATGTTCTAGCCGGAAGGTGGCCGAACGGCATGATTTTGACTTTTGACCGCATTTCATGCGACGAAGTTTGAAGCTCGATTCCGATCAAATCCTCCAAAGTTGGGGCTGGTGGTTGGATAGGTTGTGAAGATGGCAATAAGGGCTTCAGGGTAGTATGTTGGTCCGGCGGCCAGTGATTGGAGGTTGGAGATTTTGCCTTCAAAGGTGGCAGCTTAGGGATGATGATTTTTTTCATATTTGTGACTAATTTAGGGATTTTACCTTCAAAGGTGGCAGTTTAGGGGTGATGGTTTTTTCATATTTGTGACTAATTTGCACCTTTTTAAAAGTTTGAACCCATAATTGCAATTTATTCTTTATTTTTCTTTTCTTTTGTGTTTGTTTTATTTTAATAGAAGACGTTTTGCGCAAGAAAAGGTAAATGTAGGAACGTTTTGCGCCAAAAATGTGAAAGGTAGGGACGTTCTGAGCTAAAAAAAAAGAAAGATATGGACGTTTTGCACAAAAACGTGCAAAGGTAAGGACGTTTTGCGCCAATTACACTTTTTCTTTTAAACCTTTCTACATTTACACCCATTTGTACACTTTGCCACGTGGCATTATCGAATTGGATAATTTAAAAGTTACACAATTTTTCATCCAATTATTACTTGATAATAATGCAAATGTCAACCAAAGTGTATAAATTTAGTGCACAAATATCAATGTTCTTTTCTTTTTTTGATTAATAACCTCTATAAAATGAACCTCGCCGTTTCTATGATATCAAAATTTATGTACTAACTTTTGAGTACTATGTAATATGATTTGGTTAACGCTTTTAACCGTTTATGCAAAAGCGTAGAATAGACATTTTAAATTCAGATTTTGCCATATGTGCAAAACATTTCAGAAGTTGTCATCTTTAAAAATGCACCAATCGATTTTTGCTATAGTGTGAAACACATAAGCAAAACAAGA